AGAGGAGGACTAGAGAAGAGAAAGATGTACAAGAAAGGTGTTGTCCCCTCTACAGTAAGAACTAGTAGAAAACCTACCTAGTCTATACACATATATATAAATATATATGTTGAGACCTATAACAAAAATTCTTCTTCACTAGAAGGACTATACGGCATTTGGAGGTAGTTGGGTGCCTCTTTACAAAAATGGAATGCCTTGTCATTACGATGTACTTGCAGAACAATTTCGTAATGTAGGAGCACTATTGGGGGAGGGGAGTAGAATAGAAATGGGAAATTTCCTTACTCTGAGGCACATCAAGTACCGCACATAATATTGTTCTCAAAACCTTCTCGCTCCATCGCCAGTTACCAACCGTTCTTATTTTCAGATCCACTGCTTCCTGCTTTCGCACACAGAGTTACTGCCTTGGCCCTGACACAAACATCGGCAAAGGGAACAAGATCGGCAAAGCCTAGGCCAAAGGGGGAAATGGGCTGGTAGCGCACTCGTTAATATGAACTGTGCAAAATGGACGAACAGCATTGTCGAGGGCCACATTTGGGTAATTCGACTATGATGACAGGATGAGCATAGCAATCGTATGTCAGTAAGAGTATAACATTATTAAACACCAACTTGATTAAAAAGAAGTGTTGTAAAACATGTTCGTAAGTATATAGATACCATGGCATTATAGAAGGGTGAGCCAGAAAAAAATGTAAATTATATTTATGAAAAAGTATAGTATAACAATACATGTAAAAGTGAACCACGTGTTTAGGGTGGCCATTATATATAGTTGGTGGAATCACAAGTAAAAGTGAGCCAAAGACTTTACACCTTGTATTGGAAATGTTCAAAATGAGAAGGATAATAATATTGAGTAATACATACATATTTATGGCTAGAAAGTACCTATTCGGAACGTACCTGTTCGTAGTGTATCGTGACTATTCACGTCACATAACTAGTGACTGTTTGTATGACTGAGAGTGGCGTAACCCTTTGGGTAACTATATGCACGAACCTTTTGTTCATGCATTGACTCGCTACGGCTGACATCATCACGCACGTCCTTCCATATGAGGTATCGCGCTACTAGCACAGTTTAAGTGTAAAATCAGGAATGCATAAGTAAACTCTGTCGAGTATAAGTCTTTGGGTCAGTGTCGCCACGTTTGCAGATTCTAGCCAGGTTGGAGCAGTACTCAAACTTGCCGCGTGGGAGTTTCTTCGTCAGAAAATCAGCTGCCATTTCTTAGGTAGGGCAGTATTTCATGATGTCCTTTCCTTTGTCGATTTTGTCCTTGACGAAGAAGTAACGAAGGGCGATGTTTTTTGACCTGTTGATGAAGCCGGGCTCGTTTGCAATCTTGTTTGCGCTCTGGTTGTCGCAGATTAACTTGAACTTACGTGTCGTTGCGATTTTCACCTTTTGAAGTAACTCTTGAAGATAGAGTCATTCGCGAATTGAAGTGCTTGCTGCGACGAATTCTGCTTCGGCTAACGGATGTGCGATGACCTCTTGTTTTGTTGAGTTCCGGGAAATAACACCACCCGGTTCAAGTTTGAAGATGAACCATGTACCCGAAAGCCTGTTGTCGGGGTCAGCAGCGTGATCCGCATCAAAGCATCCAGTTAGTCGAAAAAATTCTGCAAAGTTTGTCGTGAAGCTGATGCCGATTGTAGGAGTAGAAATGAAATATTGGAGGGCTCGACAAAGATCGGCCATATTCTCCCCTTTAGGTCGGCGCAGGTACTGTGCGAGCTGACTCATGATATAGGCAAGACCGGGGCGGCATGT